AAAGATAATCGAAGCGATCAATAGAAGTATCGCGCTCGTTGTTAGACGTAGCATATACTTTTGGTGTCTTACAAACTATACAGAACACGCTTGTATTACAATTATTATATTAATGCAATGGATGTTGTTGCTTGTCTTTACTATTATGCATTGTTGTGATACTGTACATGACGTCCTCCACCCCAGAACTATTCCGCCGTTCTTGGTTTTGGGGTGTGACAGTTTACGGTCACCATGACCGTAAACTCATTGGTCTTGACCGTAAACTCCCTTTTTGAGGAGGTTTACGGTTGCAGGCAGTTAAGAACTTAAGCTGCTATTTCCAATCTCTTATTCCTTTGATGTACTAGGGTTAGGACACTCAAAACAAGTTCCAAACAGTGACAACTGGAAGCAAAATGAGTCTAACGTTGGTAGCTTGAATTGATTAAACAAGCTTGGAAATTTCAGGTTGTCACAAGACTGGCCTAGTCTAACTGTAGCGAACAACTCAGGTGTGGGGTGTCAACCCCATATAGATCTATACACAAACTCCCGCTCTCCCTCCAGGAGACTCTGGTTATAACTACAGGCTACAGTTGTACACTCGATAGGTGTCAAACGAAGTGTCTCACAAGATCCTTAACTGAATTTACACGAATATGAAATTGCACAGGGTATATTGTCTCAGTGTATAATTTAAGTTTACGAAGTGCAACGAGTATGTATGTGAATGTAGGAGTCAACAAGCATGTAGACGGATATTCCAGGCCCAACAAGCATGTAAATGGACCACTAAGGCCCAATAAAAATGTAATGTATATTCCAGGCCCAACAAGCATGTAAATGGACCACTAAGGCCCAATAAACATGTATTGTGTATTCCTGGCCCAACAAGCATGTAAATGGACCACTAAGGCCCAGTAAACATGAAATGCATATTCTAGACCCAATTAAGGTGTAAATGACGTAATTAATTCGTTTGTTGATACGTTGGTTGGTTAAGCTTAATTGTTCACCAAAATAACATAAAAGGGCCCACTTTTTGTGAAAAGACATTTTTGGTCCTTAAAAACCGAAAATTTACAACTTAGGCGTAATTTTGGTAAAAATGACACTTTAGGTCCCTTAGTACCAAACGTTTACATTTAAGGCTAGTTTCAAATAAAAATAACATTTTTAACCCACTTTTGTCAAAAATATCATTTTCGGCCCAAAAGCATAGAACTTATCCTTTTTGGCCCAAGTTTGATAAAATTATCATTTTCAGCCCTTATAACCGAAAAATAACATTTTTCGCTCAACTTTGTTTAAAATGACACTCAAGCCCACAAAAGTCCAAAATTTTAAAAACTTAGCCCAAAAACCGTGAAAGCCCAATATGAGACCCATTCGCGAAAGTTTACACTTTTAGCCCTTCTAAAATCATAAATACCATAAAGATCCATATTTATTCAAATAAATTTTTTAAAAACCATGAGTTATGTATAATAACATCACTTTTTGATTATTTTGTCATTTTTGGCCCTCTAATGCGATTTTTATTAGTTTAAACAACCTTGAAATGTTTCGAACCTTTTCTTTGCATAATAAGTTGTATCAAGTGTTATGTTCTACAAAAATCATCATATTTTAGTATATTTTAGAGTTTATGAAGCCTGTAACACAAAATCACAACATATAACATGAAAAACATACATAATCATGCATATACACATAGATCTACACAAAACAACTTGTATTCTCCCCCAAAACATAGCAAAAACCGAAAATAGGGGGTATGAACTCACTTTGGGGTGTTGAATTCGGTTTTGGTGAAGAAAATAGAGAGATTTCGGCCCTAGCAAGCTTTCTTGAGTAGATCTTGAGCTTATGAGGTTTCTAAGGAACATAGATCATGAAATGGAGTGTAAGAGAAGTAAGTTCAACATGAATATGAAGTTAAACACCTTGATGAGAAAGTAGCTCACCAAGAATTGATGGATTTTGATGAAGAATTCTTGATGCACTCATACATACTCACGAAAATTTAAGAGAATAAAGGAAAGGATTTCTTGTGCTTAGAGAGTGTTTGAAGAGATTTGAAGTGAAGAGAGGTGGTGATTAGTCTTGGACGAGAATAAAAAGGAGAAGAGAGAGGGTGAGAAGTGATGTGCATGGATATATGAGATTGCATAGATAATTGATGTGTAAATTGCATGGATAACCACCAAGCAAAACTTAGGTGGCATCTTAATAATATTTCATTTTCTCTCTCTTATTTTTTTACAATGTGTGTGTGTATATATATATATATATATATATATATATATAATCGAGGATGGGAGGAAGGAAAAAGAGAAAGAAATGTTTGGGCTAGTTTTGGTTATACTCGAAAATTATGAGGTCCAATATGGAAGTTTTCGGCCCATTGGGCGCATATGAGAGTTTACGGCCCAATAATGATAAAGAAGTGGGTTTACGGCCCAACAATGACAAAAAAGTGGGTTTACGGTCCAATAAGGCCCATGAAACCAAGTGTGACATTTTAGGTCCAATAAGGCCCATAAAAAGTCTTATGGCCCAAAATGTTATAGTTTGATGAATGTAGGTCCAATTAGAGCCCAAATGGAGTTCCTTGGCCCAAAATAACTAAATTGAAAGTTTACTGACCCATTAGGCCCAATAAGAGGATCCAAATCCATTTTGAGTTTAACCGGGATATTAGGGTTACGAACGCACAGTTAAGTGTGTGAAATGAATTGAATTAGGTTTTGGACTTCACGAGTGAGTTTTGGTTCAAATAGTTGTTTTTGGAATGAGCATTAGTACATAGCATCAACTTAGATTACAAGTTACACAAAAGTTGAGTACATGATGACAGAATTTCCTAGCCAAAAATACTAGTTGTGACAATATATATATATATATATATATATATATATATATATATATATATATATATATATATATATACACGAAAAAAAAGTTTAACTAAATATAGTATTTACATTCTTTTTTTAATGTTATATATATATATATATATATATATATAACAATAAAAAAAGAACGTAAATTTAATTTTAATTAAATTTTTTTTTTCATATCTAAATACGATTTTTCTGCATGAATACGTATAATATGAAAAAAAAAATACTTAGTGTAAAAACGTAAACCAATTATAAACTTAAGGGAAAAAACTATAAACTTAAGAGTTTTTTGTGAAGTTAATATAATGGGAACTTGTTATCACCGGTAAAGGGGTAAAATCGAACATTTTTTGAAAAATATGAAGGTAAAAACAGACATAAAGTTCAACTTTGGGTAAAATCGACGAAACCTTGAAAACTTGAAAATTTTTATAACATTAACCTGTAATACTAAATACAAGTTAGTTTTATGATAATACAAAAGGTCATAATTATTATAAGAAAAAAAAATAATAATGTATTATAAGAGAATCAAAGAAGGTCATAATTATTATAAGAAAATAAACAATAATGTATTATAAGATAATCAAATCTACATGCAAAAACATGGGATAGAAATAGATGAAATAAACTACTAAAAATAGCCTCTAGAATTTAATAAATTACAAAATAGCCCTTTATAGATAATTTAAATTTACAACACATCCCTCTTTTAACATTTCTTTATGTTACACTGCAGTACTTTCATTAATCAAAATGCTCAATAAATAGCAATGTACTTTCATTGCTTTGTTTATTATAGCATTCTTACAAATAAAAAGCAATTTTTTACTGCTAAAAATGGGTAGAAAGTATAAATTCTTATTAAGAAAAAAAAATCAATAGAATAATGTTATATTGGGTAAAAAATTTAGAAATACAGTGTTTTGATGCGAAAAAGTGAAATTAGGATGTTATAATAAACAAACCAATGAAACTATGTTTAATTTTACGGGTATAGCAACCAGAATCGGGAATTTCACGAGAGGTGTTGTTTTATTAATGCAGGATTAGTCAATAATTGATAATATTTTGGCACAGAATAATATGTAAATATTTTAGCTGTTGTATATGATTATATAATTCATAAAAAAGTAAAAAAATGACATTATTTAAATTTTACGTGTTTTTGAGCTTCGTTTTCACTGATGGTGCTTTGGACCACCTTTCCAGTCAAACCTATAAAGAATATGACATGTTAGGCCAAGATCCACTTTAGTCATAATTTGTCGTTTTCTAGAAAGGGTTAAAAGAGAAAATACATGGAACTAAGGCATCTGTTAATGTTTGTTTGGTATTTTATAGTATGGATCAACACTTCTATAAACTTGGTTTCTAGCATCATGATAGCATCCAACAAATATTAACTTAAAAATTAGTTTTTTTTGAATTTAACATAACAAATTGATGTTAAGACTTAAGATAATCAAATTTATAGTAATTGATGCAAATGTGAAGTAATCAGTATTTGGATAGAAATAGGTGAAATAAACTCCCCAATAAAGCCCTTACATGTGATTTGAATTTCAAAACTGCCCCTTTCCAACATTTCTTTCTTTTACACCGTAGTACTTTCGTTCATCAAAATACTCAAAAAATATCAAGGTACTTTCATTGATTTTGTTTATTATAACATTCTACTTTTATTTTTTCGAAGTAGAGTGTTGTGATAAGTGTTATGATAGGAAGAAGGGAAAGTAGGATTCTATAATAAACAAACCATTGAAACTATGTTGCTATTTCTAATTATATGCACTAACAATCCAAAATTTCTTAAACATGTGTGTTGTTTATGTTGAAAAAGGAAATGATCTTTCAAATATTCAGTCCAAATTTAAGGATCAATCTCGATATGTTACAGCTATTCTCCAGCCTAGAATTATGCACAACCTTACCTTGTATATATCATTAGTGTCCTATAAATGTTAGCTTCTAATGTATTGTAAGATACATAAAAAAAACCAATCAATAAAAAGATTTTTAGCTCTCTGATCGATAATATGGTATCAGAGCAGTGTTGACGTTCCAACCCAACTAATCCAAAATTCATCTTCTACCCAGAATCAAGCCGCCATGTCCGAAGATGGTAGCTCAAATAACAGCAACAATGATCTTAATGCCCAACTTACAAACCTTTTCAAAACAACCCTCAATAACCAGAATCAAACCACAAAACAGAGTCTATCCGATAGCTTGAAGATTAGCCTCAAGCTTAACAGCCAAAATTACGCCCTTTGGGCTCGGATGATCCAAGTTGCGATCGGGGGAAAATCCAAAAGTTTGTTAAGCCATCTTTCTGGTGTTCCAGCACCACCAGATCCATTAGACGACCAGTACGAGCAATGGGAACAAGATGATTTAATTGTGTTCTCATGGCTAATACAAAATATTGAACCTGCACTCGCTAGCAACCTCACCGAGTTTCCCACGGCAAAAACCCTATGGGATGCCTTAGTGGTTACGTACAGTAGCAGGAAGGATAAGTTACAAACCTTCGACCTTCACGTCAAAGCAAATGAAATCAAGCAGAATGGGTCTCCTCTTGAAGATTTTTGGATAACCCTGGAAGGCATATGGGGTGAAATCGAGAGGAGAGATCTGAATCCAATGAAGTGTGCCATCGATATAGCCACCATACAATAGTATCAGGTCTGAACAAACTCTTCCAATTTTTGAATGCCTTGGATCGAAGATTCGACCCCATCAAATGAGAAATCCTTCGATGGGATCCGCTTCCTTCTGCAGAGGGGGCCTACGCGGCTGTTCGGAAAGAAATGGATCACCAAGGAATCCTTGGAGCCACCACTGAAAACTCACTGCCTGGAGTAGCGGTCGGCCTTGTCGTCGGCGGTGGTTCATACGATTCCGGTGGGTCACAAGATGCTGGTGGGATAGGGCTGGTCACGAAGGGGCAACACCGCAGATCCGACTCCTCTGGGAAACCTCCATCTCGAATGGATAAATCAAAACTAAAGTGAAGCCACTGTGGTATGTTGAAACACACTAAAGATCAGTGTTTTAAACTGGTCGGTTACCCCGAATGGTGGAATGATGGCCACAAGAAAACTGGTGTCCCGACTGAGAAAGGGAAGGCGGCCATGGGTTCCGGTACCGACGACAATCAAATGCAAGGGAGCTTTGGTGGTATCGCCACATCTGGTGTGAAAAGCGACGAAGGAGATGTAGGTAAAGGGTTTGGGGCTTTATCCTCAGACCCTTGTTTATTAAATCCTAAGTTTTTTAATCCCCAAATTTTTGAAATATTACAAAATGAACCCCAAACTATTAGACATGCTAAAATGGCTCAAAATTCCTATAAGGCACAAAAGAATGCTTGGATTCTTGATAGTGGGGCTACTGAGACTATGACTTTTGAGCCCTCTGATATTACCCTTAACTCTGAACCTAGAATATCTCAAATACAAACGGAAAATGGGGGAAGTATGCATGTTAAAGGAGGAGGGACAATTGAGATATCTCCTAAACTAAAACTCTCTAATTGCCTTTATGTCCCTTCCCTATCTCATAAATTGTTGTCTATTAGCCACGCACAAAAGAGCTAAATTGTTCGGTTTTAATGCATCCAACCTTCTGTATTTTACAGGACTTCAGGACTGGGTTGATCATTGGGCGTGGCACTGAACGACGGGGATTATACTATGTGGATGAGGTGACTCAACACGGTACTGTGATGCTTGCTCATGGAACACCAAATAGAGAAGCATGGCTATGGCATAGGAGGTTGGGGCATCCATCGACGGGCTACTTGCATTTATTATTTCCTAAAATTTTCCCTTCCAGTAACGTTTTAGTTTGTGAAACTTGTGTTCTTGCCAAAAGGCATAGACAAACCTTTAAACTAAATAACACTCGTGTGAATTTACCTTTTTCTTTGATTCATTCTGATGTTTGGGGGCCGGCAGAAGTTAACGGGGGGCAAGGTTTCTATTTTTTTCTATTGTTTGTGGATGATTGCACACGAATGACTTGGGTATATTTCCTCAAACACAAATCCAAAGTTTTTAAATTTTTTACCATGTTCCATGCTATGGTTTAAACGCAATACAAAACCAACATTCAAATTCTTCGGTGTGATAATGGAGGCGAATTTGTGAACAACTCTATGAAAGAATTTGTTCAGTCTAAAGGAATGATTCACCAAACCACATGCCCAAAACATTCTGAACAAAATGGCGTTGTTGAGCGGAAAAATCGGATTTTATTAGAGATGACTCGGGCTCTTATGCTTGAATCTAATGTACCAAAATCTTTCTGGCCTGAAGCCCTTGCTACAGCTGCTTACCTTTATTAACCGACTACCCACCAAAGCACTCAACCTTAAACCCCGTTGCAAACCCTATCAAAATTCACAAAAATACCACCTATCCTTTGATGGGTTTTAGGTAAAACAAATAAACTAGAAAACAATTCCTAAGTTCACATGCAACCTACTTTGGATCTATGTTTTAACTATTGAACATACAATTTTTATTTCCAAAACAAGAACCCTAGAGGAGAGAGGCTATTTTCGAAAATAACTAACTAGGGTTTAAGAATTACATACCTTTCAATTGTTATAGTAAACAATTGATAATCCTCTTGAACTTGATCTTCTTGGAAGCCTAGCACCACAAATGTAATGCCTCTAATGGAATCACACCCAAGAACTAGCAATAAGGAAACTAGAAGGAGAGAGAGAGAGAGAGAGAGAGAGAGAGAGAGATTAGGGTATGCAAAATCGGCCCTAGGATTTATCAAGGGAAGGAGTGGCCGAATTTAGGAGCTGGGAGGCTCCTTATATTGCTGAGGGATCTAGGGTTTAGGGAAAACCCTAATACTCCTTTGCTTGGGGCCTAAGCTAATCCAAAGGCCTTATCCAAAGCCCCTTGGACGAAATCCTTAGGGTTTTCCCTATATATTTCATCCACCTCCTTCCAAGGAGGTTCTGGAGCCTTCCACTCAACTATTAGATAATTGCAAACTAGTCCCTGCACTTTATAATTAATACAATTAACCCTAAAATTAATTCTAATTAATTTTCTGGCTAACTATTAATTAAACCTAATGATTTCCAATTAATATATTAATCTTTTAACATATTAATAAATCATTTATATTAATTTATTAATCTTATAATAAATCAATATCTCTCCTTTCATAATTTCCTTGTCCAGTTGCCAGGTTTGAGGGCAACCCAAAAGGACTGTGCTGCTATCAATTCAAGTACATACCAATTATAGTTATGGGCTTAGACACCTAATCCAACAGTCTTCCACTTGGATAAGTCTGTAACTATAATTGCTAGTATGACTTCAAATTTTTGACCAGCAAATTGTAGCTTCCAAAAGTTGTTGTTGGAGTCTGACCCAGTCAGTTACGTGTCCTTAGATAAGTGATCATATAATCCTTCATTCTGCAAGATATCCCTAGACATAAGACATGGAATGTAATCAATCTCTTTGTCCAGAATCTATGTTTCCCGATTTCTGATTTGTGATGATGTAGGACTTCTAATTGAACACATCAATTTAGTCCTGGCTGGGCCCAGCACATAAGTCAACACCAAATCATCGAGGGGCCCACATATATCGTTTTTCCCGTTAGGGCAAAAGGAACGAATAAACTTTGACTCATATGCTCATATATTTTAGTCATCAAATTATACATGACAATATGTTTTATAACACCAAGTTACTGATGCGTTTTCGTATCACCAATGCATGACCGACTCGTAAATTACAACTCATATTTCTCGCTCCAAGATTATAAGATATTATCTTCTCAGTATTACTCGTGATGAATTCCATGAAGTAATACTCTGAGCGAGGGTTTATCCAATACTCAAATCTCTATTTCTAAGTACTAATGAACATTGCAGCAATTCTATTGCTATGTCTAACTCCCTTAGACAATCTGCAATCCAATTTCATGACAGTCTTAATTCACTACTTACTTCCAAAAGTACGAGCGACTGTGGGGTTTGAATAATATAATTATTCGGGAAGTAAAACATGCAAAATACGAAACACAATAATAAACAATTGACAAAAGGCAGTAACCAAACTTATAAATAATACTTTATTATTTAATCACCAAAAGTCAACTACATTTACTTTGTTACAAGTTTCAGAATAACTAATCTAACTACTAAAACTAATATCATCTCTCAGTCCAATGCTCCGAGCATGCTGAATATGCTTAACCCTACTCAGACCCTTTGTGAGGGGGTCTGCTGGGTTATCCTCAGATGATACCCTCTTTACAACAAGATGGCCTTCTTCTACTCTATGTCTAATAAAATGGTACTTTCTGTCGATATGTCTGGTTTTACCATGATCTCTTGGTTCCTTTGTCAAGGCAACCGCTCCTTCATTATCGCAGAACAGTTCCATAGGCTCCTGGATGGTAGGAACAAATCTGAGATCCCCGATGAAGTTCCTTAACCAAGCTGCTTCCTTAGACGCTTCACTCGCCGCTATGTACTCTGATTCACAGGTAGAATCAGCCACCGTATCTTGCTTGGAACTTTTCCAAGTAACCGCTCCTCCATTCAGTAGAAATACCCAGCCAGATTGAGAACGAAAGTTATCTCTATCTGTCTGAAAGATGGCATCGCTGTAACCATCTACTCTTAAAGTATCATTTCCACCAAGCACAAGGACCCAGTCCTTCGTCCTTCGCAAATACTTGAGTATATTATTTACTGCTATCCAATGAGCTCTACCCGGGTTTCCCTGATAGCGACTGACCATGCTCAAAGAAAATGTCACATCAGGCGAGTACATGTCATAGCGTACATGATCGATCCGACAGCGGAAGCATAAGGTACACGACTCATGTCATCTATTTCCTCATCTGTACTCGGGCATTGAGTCTTACTCAATTTGGTATTGCTCTGGATAGGTAGCTCTCCCTTCTTTGAGTTTTCCATACTAAACCTCTTTAGTACCTTATCCAAGTATGTGCTTTGACTAAGTCCAATTAGTCTCTTCTTTCTATCTCTCAATATTCTAATCCCAAGAATATAGGCAGCTTCTCCAAGGTCTTTCATGGCAAAACACTTTCCAAGCCAAGACTTAACATCTATCAAGGTTGGAACGTCGTTACCAATGAGTAATATGTCATCGACATATAACACCAGAAAAGTTACTATACTCCCACTAGCCTTGATATACACACAAAACTCATCTTCACTTCTAGAGAACCCAAACTCTTTGACTTTCTCATGGAAGCAAAGATTCCAGCTGCGAGATGCTTGTTTCAGTCCATAAATGAATTTCTCAAGCTTACACACTCTATTGGGAAACTTTGCATCAACAAAACCCTCTGGCTAATTCATGTAAACATCCTCGGCCAAATTCCCGTTAAGGAAAGTAGTCTTGACATCCATCTGCCAGATTTCATAGTCATGAAAGGCATCTATGGCGAGCAATATCCTAATAGATTTAATCTTGGCTACTGGCGAGAAGGTCTCATCATAATCAACCCCTGGGGTTTGAGTGAAACCTTTTGCAACCAGTCGAGCCTTGAATGTGTGCACATTACCATCCATGTCTGTATTCTTCTTGAAGATCCATTTGCATCCAACTGTCTTACGACCTGGTGCACTATCAACCAAATTCCAAACTTGGTTGTAATACATGGACTTAATCTCGATGTCCATTGCCTCTTTCCACTTGGAAGCCTCTGGGACTGCCATTGCTTCCTTATAAGTAACTGGTTCATCTAAATTTACCAGTGTCCTATCACTGATGAATGTGTCACCATCTGAAGTAATATGAAAACCATACAACTCAGGTGGCACACTCACCCTAATGGATCTTCGAAGAGGTAATGAGTTATCAACTGGTTCAACAGGAACTGTTTCCTCTGGTTGAGTGCTAGTGTCATTTAAGGTTTCTTCATTGGACAACTCTTGAATTTCTTCAAGGTCTATGGTGCTCCCAGTGTCCTCTTTGAATATGAGCTCTCTTTCTAGAAAGACTCCTCTTCATGCTACAAAGACCACGTTTTCACTAGATCTGTAGAACAAATATCCAAAAGACTGTTTTGGGTAACCAATGAAAACACATTTCTCACTCCTAGCTGCTAGCTTGTCGTGAGTCTCTCGTCTTACGAAAGCTTCACAACCCCAGACTTTAATATGTGCTAACGAGGGAACTTTCCCCGTCCACATTTCGTGAGGTGTTTTGGCAACCTTCTTTGTAGGGACAAGATTGAGGATGTGGGCGGCTGTCTCTAAGGCATACCCCCAGAAGTGAATAGAAAGTGAAGCACGACTCATCATAGAACGAACCATGTCTAACAAGGTTCGATTACGCCTCTCAGCTACACCATTTAACTGTGGTGTCCTAGGAGGAGTTAATTGTGAGACTATCCCACATTCTTTTAGATAGTCGTTGAACTCGATACTAAGATACTCCCCGCCTCTATCGGATCTAAGTACCTTTATCTTCCTGCCCAATTGATTTTAGACGTCATGCTTAAACTCTTTGAACTTTTTAAAGGTTTCTGACTTATGTTTGATTAAGTAGATATAGACATATCTTCTATAATCATCAGTGAAAGTCACATAGAATCGATTAGCATCCCTTGTAGTTGATCTGAAGGGGCCACATACATCTGTATGTATGAGATCCAACAGACCTTCACCTCTTTCACAAGACCCTGTGAATGGTGATTTCGTCATCTTTCCCAAAAGACAAGATTCACACATATCATCTGATTTTAGGTCAAATGATTCCAACACTCCATCCTTTTGGAGTTGGGCTATGCGTTTCTTGTTAATGTGTCCAAGACGACAATGCCACAAGCATGCCTTGTCTACACTGTTAGACAAGTCAATATTAAATACACTATTTTCTAAGCTATCAACACAAGTCACTATTTCATACACACCATCACAAGGCAAAGCTTCAAACACAAAAACACCATTCTTATAAACAGAAATTGAACCATTCAAATCATTAAAAGAATACTTAAACCATGTCTGAACAATGCATGAAATGAAATAATGTTTCTCGTCATCTCAGACGAATAGCAACAATTCAATAAATC